GCTACAAATAGTAATTATATTATGTTCCTTAGCTTATGATGACCAATATTGCAGTTCAGACGAAATCGATATAGCTTTAAATAAGAATACCACTGCAATGTATTATTATATATTTATATCATAGCTAAATCTAGGAGCATAATAATATGTATTTGAGTTGAATAAATTATTCTCTATATATTATGTTTTGGTTTAATTCATAATAATATTATGTTATAACTTATAGTTATACGACGGTTACACGCGAACATCGAATAATATTTATTATATTGTAATAATTTCTTAGTTTGTTGCATAACGAAGATATTATTATAATATTTGAAATTCGTGCTGCATCGTATCGACGATTGTAATGGAATTAATTTTATTCACGATCGGAATTCTCATAATACTATATGCTATACGCTAGAAGGAATAATTGTATATTTTTTCTATACAATGTTATAATACGTTTTCGTATTATATTATATATACTGTACAATGTCTGTTTGGACGTTTTTGACGCGAACCAGTTTTACTGGAAACTGACGATAAAAAAAAAAAAATAATTACAATAATAATTGATAATTGTTTTTTTTTTATTTTATTTTTTACATTAAATGTTTTTTGTCCGTCGTGGTCGTCGATTAATCGGTCGAGACGGGCGCCGAACAACAGCGGTTTCGACGGGCGCGAATCAACTCGTTCGGAAAAACGCGCTCCGCGGCAAACCAAGGACCGGCCGTGGGCGTACGCGGCTGTCGATCGTCGTCCTTACCCACACACACACACACACTCATATACATTATGAATACTTTTTACACCACCCGGCGCACGTCTAGCTAGCGACTGACACGTCGTCCACATGAGGTCTGAGAAAATAATAATAAAAAAAACACCGTAGAAGAAAACACGGCGAGACGCGTATCTTATATATGTTATATTATATTATTATTTTATAATACCTATACATAATAGTCGGTTGATGAGGTAAGAGATCGCCGCTCTCGCACTGCACATATCCGTCCGTCCGTCCAGCAGCCCGCCGAACGTGTCAGTGGCGGTGTACGGTTGGGTGGCTGGAGGGCGGCGGGTAATAATTACGATCGGCCAATGGATTTGAATGTATAATTTCGTGCCTTATTATTAGAATTTCCATCGTCCCGATGAACCGAATCGATCTGCCAGTCGTCCATCGCGCACTACGGTGCGCCGGTATTTAATAATAATAATAATAATAACGATAATATCCAGCCCGCCGCCGGTCGTCTGCCTACAGGAGCTTCGAGACACGACCTGACGCGCGCCGTAATTAACTGTCAGCGATCATCCGATTCCGATCGTCGGTGAATATAATAGCGTTTATTTTCTCGGATTTTTTTTTATTATTATTATTTCCTTCTTATTAAAACTGGAGGAAAAAAAACGATACCTATATCGTGTATTGCGTATACCTATATAGTATAGGTATGTACCTACATTCACCAGAAGAATAAAAACGTCGAGAAATCGACTGTCCGCGACGTATAATTAAACCGAAACAATAATAACAATTCGTTGCATACAAACAGTAATTAGTGACCCCGCCGGAGTATAGTGACAACCTAACCTCCTAACCTTCGGACTCACCCCCTCCCCGCTTGCACACCGTCATGTCTCGTCCACTCCCCTTCGATGGTGTATATTATATGAACACACGTCGTTGTTGTACGTGTATATACATATTATTATAAGGGTGTATCTAATTATCGTTTAACACCCCTACCACCCCCACCACCCCCACCACCCCCACCACCACTGCTTCACACTAACACTCAACCCTTTCGATAGACCCTCACCTCCAATATATAGTGGGTATATACCTAGTCGTGCACATAATATCGGCGCGGGTCTCGGAGGTATTGTGCCTGTGCGGATTTATATCGCGGGCTGCACTCGTATGCGGACAAATCGATTGCGATTACTATCGCAAAAGCGCATACACAAATCAGTGTCCAGAACCCGCGAACAAGCCCAATGAGACAAATTGCCACCGTGTTATAATAATAATATATTATTGTTTCAATATTATATATTATGTTATTATACCGACGAGTCCAATCGTGTCGACGACGTTGACTCACTGAAAATGGGTTTATCGTGCGGAAAATATAATCATGTTATAATATAATATGCATTCGAAACGGGAAAATCGCCTCCGCCGGGCCAGTCCACCCCCCGCCCGGCCCGATATTGTTTTACAATCGCATATTGTTATGATGATGATGATATATTATTATCATATCGTACGAACCTTTTATCGGCCGATTTTCAGAGGCACTGTAAATCGTCACTCGGTACAGCGGTCACCCCGGCGCCGTAATATAATGTAGAACGACAAAACCAACGACGGGTGAAAATATTATGTCCACGTGTTCCCCGACGATTCCCGACAATGTTGTTTTACATTCTCATACTTTAATATTATAATAATATCAAATTATAATATTATATTATGATCACGCCAGTGTTTTCAGCAGGTCTGACCGTCCCGTTTTCAATACGTGTGTGAAGATGGCCCCCCCATATCGTATAAATTGAACCGGACTGATTGTAAGTTCAAGATATTCATTTGTAAGTATTTGTAAGTTGGTTTTCAGAATTTGTAAGTTGGTCCTCACTGAGATATCTACAGCCCTAGATATTAACCATCAGCCCCCCCATATCGGCCGAATCGAACCGGACCAATTGTAAGTTAAAGATATTCATTTGTAAGTATTTGTAAGATAGTTTTTAAAATTTGTTAGTCAAACCCCTACTCTCTGGTGAATTTCCAAAAATCCGACCCAGCCCCCCCATATCGGCCGAATCGAACCGGACCAATTGTAAGTTAAAGATATTCATTTGTAAGTATTTGTAAGTTAGTTTTTAAAATTTGTTAGTCAAACCCCTACCCTCTGGCGAATTTCCAAAAATCCGACCCAGCCCCCCCATATCGGCCGAATCGATCCGGACCGATTGTAAGTTAAAGATATTCATTTGTAAGTATTTGTAAGTTAGTTTTCAGAATTTGTAAATTGGTCCTCACTGAGATATCTACAGCCCTAGATATTAACTATCAGCCCCCCCATATCGGCCGAATCGACCCGGCCTAATTGTAAGTTAAAGATATTCATTTGTAAGTATTTGTAAGTTAGTTTTTAAAATTTGTTAGTCAAACCCCTACCCTCTGGCGAATTTCCAAAAATCCGCTCTATGTGATAACTTCATTGGAACCCTATATGGGATAAGGTTACAATGTTTAATTGTTGTTGTCTTTAGTTACAGATTATAATAGTTATAACTAGCAGAAAATAGGTTGTAGAAGTCAGTATTTTTTTAACCTTGTATGGTTGTATCTTGTATTTGGTTAGGTACTATATATTAGTTGATTTTTATTTATTTACTTTATTATTTTATAAATATTTAGGTATTTGATATTTTTATGTTAAAACTTATTCAAAAATGCAGGTACAAATAAAGTGCAATGAATATGATAATAATAAATAAAACGGAAATAAATAATAATCCGTGCATTGGTTTGTGTTGGAGGTGTTAGGTTGGTCGAATGGTTCTGTGGATTACGTTTAAAATAGTTTCGTATGGTGGCGTGTCGGAACTAATTGTTAGCAGAAATATGCAAATGTGTGGTTGATTGTTTTTCTAATTTTAAAGATAAAGGTAACTTAAGGTTTAGCTACTTTTATTGACATAACAATAAATTCAAAAATATGAAAAATGTAATAAAATATAGATATAAAATATAAGATGTAGAAACATCATTCAACCACGAATATAAAGTTTTTGTAATAAACTACGATAGTGATGGGCGATGGCTTAACAATTATTGTTTAGCCATCACTATGGTATGTCTTCAGGACATTTTATATTGATAATAACATTAAAGATTATATTCTAATAATAATAACTTGTTTTATATTAAGTGTAATGATTATAAAAACTATATTACAATTTAAAACAAAGAAATACTTATGTATACTTGAAAAAATTGTTATAAAAGTTGATAAAAAATTTAATTTATTCAGCTACGTAAATAAGTTGGTGCGGTTTTATTTTCTGTACTTGATGAAGCTGATAATGAAAAACCTCTTTGTTTAAATCGTTATGCAGTTCCCAAAATCCTCTTCCCCTTTTACAGTAGGTTACGTAATGACCAACTCCTTCAAAATTTGTCCCTCCAACAAAACATATAACAGCCGAAATTCCGTACCTGTATATTAATTATAATTTCAATTTCTTAGGTTAGAATTTGTTAATCTTGTTTATGAGTTCACTTTGATTGTTCGCAGTTATAAGAATACTTTTACGGAAAAGTATCTATACTTATAACTTATTAACAATGGTGGGCAAGTTAATGAAAATAATTAACTGAGGAAAGTTAAGTTAATTAAATTAAGTTAAAAGTTAACAAAGAAAAAAAATTTAACTAGATAAGTTTAAAGTTAAGATAGAAAACAAATTTAACTTATCTCAGTTAAAAAAAAGTTAATTATTTTTAAGGTACTATATTTTTAAGTCATAAACCACCATAGTATTTTGTTATAGACAAACATTTACCAAGATAAACTGTGTAAAAAATTAGATTATTATAATATATAATTCGAAAATAAATTACCAAAATCGTAAAAAAGTCGACGAATCAGTATTGCCTAGTTGATTACGCATGACTCAAAAATTAAATTAACTTAACTGCATGATAATGATAATTAACTATAAAAAGTTAAATTACAACAATTTTTTTTTTTTTTTTTTTTTAAAAGAAATATACCATCTGTACCCAGAGACACAATAAGGATATGTGCTAATTTACAAAAAGGCGTGAATGAGTTGTTGGAAGAAGCCACCCAGTAGTGACACTTCCTATATAGGTTACAACAATAAAAATTTTAACTGAATAAGTTAATAAGTAAAAAACAAAAATAATTAAGAAAAAATTAACTTCTTAACTTAACTTTAACTCTTTCACAAGTTAATGCCCACCTTTACTTATTAACATACCTTTTTGTATCGACTATTAACTCCATTGGGATGTCAGCAAGAGAACACTCTTCAACAATCCAGTCTGTCTCTATTCGAATTGTAACTTGCAGCTCCTTGCTGATTTGTAATTCTTCCTCTTTACATTTAGCGCACACTTGTTTGGTATTCATCATATAGTCACATACTGCGCCTGGTAGATGGTGTATTCCTTCTTTTATAATTATTTGTTGATAATTTCGAGAAATTATCATCAATGTATTTTTAAATGTTTTTGTATAATTACAATGAAGACAAAAGCGATGTTCAAAAGAAGAAGGATTTTCAACTAACAATTTTTCTGTCATTTGACTGATATTGCATTCTGTAAATACTGTATGAATTTCGGAAATGTTTTTAGATGTTTTAAAAATGCCAATCAACATTTTTGCTCGTTTTTGGTATATTACAGTGTTACATTTATGGTATGCTACTTCACGACAAATTGACAAAAACTGATTTTTAGTGACTTTCTCGTCAACAAGTTCTCTGTATTTTTGGGACTCAATATAAGTTATAACAACCGATGATAGTATAGAATCAAAAGGACATGTGTTATAAATAATATACTTCTTATTTTCGATAACTGCTGGTTTACATAAGTTGCCATTAATTATTAGACATTTATTCGAAGACCTCAACCCCGATCGGTTCAAACGTCTTTCAATTTCGGGACATTTCCCTTTATATTTAGTTGGTCGTTTTATTTTTTTCAACGGTTTTTCCCCTAAATTCTTCCAATTTTCTGTTTCGTCATAATCTTCAGGCATATTATTTTCTTCTGACTGGTCATCTTCTGACATATAATTTTCAGAATAATTTTCATCGGATAAAATATCTTTAGATATATCATCCTCTAGTCCATCGTTTTGTATCACTTTTAATAAGTCTTTAATATCAGTTTCATATTGGAAGTTATCAAGCAAAATATTATCTTCATTAGGAACATCACATATTGTATTTACAATTTCGTTGTCTTTAGTAAAATTATAATGAGCAAAGTCATCTTCAATATCAATATCTTCATATCCGTTATTGTTGGGAATTCTATTTTTAGAATAATTTTGTTCTTCAGTTTCCTTATTGCTTAATACGTTATTTACAGTCAATGCTTCTTTAAATCTGACGTCCACACTGTTAGTTTTTAATAATTCACGTTTATTTGTTGTAATATATTGGTCTCGATTTTCAATTTGAATACTTCTTGATATTTTAGTCTCACTTTCAATAGTTTTCAAGTGCGACGTTATAAATCTATCGGCGGTCAAAGGCTTTGAAAATTTTGATTTTAATTTACCTATATATCCTTCTACTGGGGCACTAGTAGCTGTTAAAAAATTTGAACTAAAATAATTCTTCATCACATTGCTCCACATGGGAAAATCTTTAACTATTCGCATTAGATTTATTTTTAGTTCAGGTATATGATATGCATTTATTCTGTTTCCTTCAACAGAACAATAATTATCAATTTTTTCTATTAAGTAGGTTATGTAAACATCCATATTATTTTGATTTGAACTAAAATTATCTTCATTTAAATCTTGGTTTGTAATGATATCTAAATCTTCACCATCCAAGTCAGAATCATTTAGAAGATTTGTATCTTTAATCATATTAATCATATGAGACCGGAATAATTCAGCTGGTGCAGGGACTGAAGTTGAACCAAGTTCTAAGCCATCAGTTTCGGAAGAAGCTATGACAATAATTTTCACAAATATTTCTTCAAACTGTTGTAACGTTTCTGATTCAACTAAAATTATTAATGACCTTACGAAAAATTCTTTTATTCTACCTTTTCCCAAACACTTCCAGCGGCATATCATTTTAATAAAGTGAGCTATGTCCAGACGTATAAAAATAGCAGGAGTAGATGTTTCTTTGTTCTGTAATACTCTCAAACATATATCACAGTAACGGCTTCTTGACATTTGGCAATACGAAAATGTTATGGCTCCGATGAGAGCGTACGAATAATCGCATACAATTTCATGTGGTAATTTTGCTCCACTTCTTATCCACTGATTTAGCCAATAGGATATTGTTGACATGTCTTGTGCCTCTGATAACATCTGAGACACAGGTGTTTGAAATAAACCATTATGTAAAACAGCAGCATACAAAGTTTTAAATATAACGTGCTACACAACATCCATTTGGAAATTCACCAGCGGGGAAGTGCTTGACATACAAATTCTAAAAACTAACTTACAAATACTTACAAATGAATATATTTAACTTACAATCTGTCCGGATCGATTCGGCCGATATGGGGGGGCTGGGTCGGATTTTTGGAAATTCACCAGAGAGTAGGGGTTTGACTAACAAATTTTAAAAACTAACTTACAAATACTTACAAATGAATATCTTTAACTTACAATCGGTCCGGATCGATTCGGCCGATATGGGGGGGCTGGGTCGGATTTTTGGAAATTCGCCAGAGGGTAGGGGTTTGACTAACAAATTTTAAAAACTAACTTACAAATACTTACAAATGAATATCTTTAACTTACAATTGGTCCGGTTCGATTCGGCCGATATGGGGGGGCTGGGTCGGATTTTTGGAAATTCACCAGAGAGTAGGGGTTTGACTAACAAATTTTAAAAACTAACTTACAAATACTTACAAATGAATATCTTTAACTTACAATTGGTCCGGTTCGATTCGGCCGATATGGGGGGGCTGATGGTTAATATCTAGGGCTGTAGATATCTCAGTGAGGACCAACTTACAAATTCTGAAAACCAACTTACAAATACTTACAAATGAATATCTTGAACTTACAATCAGTCCGGTTCAATTTATACGATATGGGGGGGCCATCTTCACACACGTGTTTTCAATGACATGATTTTTAAATCGAGCTATTTAGATTTTTTGAAAATTATTTTTTGGTCAATATATACACGGGTACTTTCCTCAACAACAAACGATATCGCAGTTGCAATTTGATGCGTCGTTACAGACTCAAAGGAATCAGAATTTGTTGGTAGATAATTTATACATAATATTTGAATATACTATAGTGTCATTAAGTTGAAATAATTTAGTTTAAGTACTTAACCCTTATACTATCTTTCCAACGTTTTCTATTTCATTAACAGTGTATTTATTAGTTACCTGCAGATAAGAAAAAATCATTAACAAACGTAATTAAAATGAAGGAACATTTTCCATTGCTAGAAAAAAAGAAATTTATAAACACAACACAATAAATGAATCGATTGTTATAATAATATTATGTTGTTATCTTTACAATTTTTTTAATATTCTATTTAATTCTACTTTTCAATTTAGACTGTTATTATTTCTAGTTATTAGCATTTTGGTATCTGTATAGGTATAGCTAGGTATATTGTATTTTTTTTTGTTTGCATTTTATAACTTTATATGATTATTATATATATTAAACCCAATGACAACCCCCCCTCTCACCACAAGCTCTAAGCTTAAAGACAAGGTTCAACAATTGTAATTTCTACGTATAATTGTATTATGGTATAAGGATTGAGTTGAGTTGAAATAAATTATTATTATTAATATTTATTGCAACAATGAGTGCAAACTGCAAATATTTACCAATAACTTACTGGCAGCCGTGATGAATTCCAATTAACATACTAAATCCCACTGATGTGTTCTTAATATTATTCAAAAAACTAATTGCTTATGTTCACAGTGGAATGCCCGAATATGTCTACCAACTTGTGCCAACAAAGTTGATTTAACAATTTAAAACTATTTTTAGGTTGATATTATTAATGTCGTGATATGATTATAAATGAATAAAACACAATAATCATGATACTTTCTCCTAGATTTGCATGATAACATCGTATGACATAAATAAAATAAAATGTCTTTGACTCAGTTCATAATAACAGTATACAGTATTATTATGTGATTTTATAAATTATGAAACTATAAAAACGTTAAAACGTATTTTATATCATATTAAAATGTATATAATGAGGTAGGTAGGTACACAATAATACACTGGCTGGTGAGGTATATATTTTATACTTTATAGTTTTCAATGTATAACATTTCATTTTGTAAGCCATAATAACAACTATTTTATATTCGATAATATTCTATTACAATATGATGTTGTCAATTTACCTGTAATAATAAATTTTATAGAGCATTTTAAAACTACTATTGATCGTAATATGTTGTAGGTACAATGTGATTTGTGCCTTATCCCTATACCTAAAACATCTATAATAAAATCTTATATATATATCATATACCTCCGTCTTCCATTTTAAATTTAAATTTAAATTTGTAATTTAATTGTTCGAAGAAAAAAATGCAACTTGGTTTTAATATTTTTATAAAATGTAATATATTTTGTATGGTTCACTGTCGTTTGTACCTAAAACTAAAATATAATCGCATTAATTTATGCGCCACGAGCAGACAGGTAAACGCAATAACCGACGATCGAGGGAAGTTGTGAAAATAATACTACCTATACATAAACGCATTATACGATTTAAGTAACATAATATTATTACAATATTTAGTGACGACCGAGACGTCCTCGACCATAATATAATATTTGTTATACAGTAAAACCTCCTTATTACGGAAAACGACAACAGTCCCGAATAACCCATATCCCGTATGTCTGTGTCTCCCTATAACGGACAAATCAGTTGGTACCGAGCGATAAGGAGGTTTCAGTGTACGATTTAGTTTATATAGAACGTCCGTCTCCCACAGACCCGCGACTACGAGTCTCTTTGATGGAAACGGGTTCTGCTCGGACAAATCGTTTTCGAACTATCGATAAGCGGCCTTGGCAACAATATTATTATAATACCTATAATGTTATATATATATATATATGCATCGAGTCGATCTGTACTCGTAATTACACGGCGATAGGCGTTGCCGTCCGATCCGGTTGGTAGCCCGATTTCCTTCCGCTCCTCCTACGCGTGCGTCTTTTGTTTATTTTTTTACTCATTTTTTATTTACTTCATCTCATTTTCTCCGGAATCGATAATAATAATATTGTAACATGTATCGTATATTGGTCGTGCGCCCACAACGTTTCCCAGTGGTTCACGTGCATATACAAATCGTGCGCGCCAGACGAGTTGTCCGCCGGCGACGTATAGAACTTATTTACACGATGTTGATATAATAATATTATTGTTCCGCGCATGCGTCATAAATATTTTAATCTCGTATTATCACTTAAAAATAATCGGCCAATATCACTTATCATGAGCGCCAAATCGACCACTGGCGCGACTCTTCGCAATTACAACAATATTACCTATGCATACAATTTGTTATGGCTACGACCCGTTCTGTGGGAAAAATATCATATACAATGGCTTCATCTCGATTCCACCCGTATAGGTTAGGTACCTTACCTATGATCAGCTTACATAATATAATACGTTATTATCATTACACGGACATAACCATCAACAATCAGCGTGCAACGTATCGTAATATTATAATAATATAGTTAGACGTCGACGACGACGACGAAGAGACGAGACCCGAAATGAATTTCCGTTCGGCAGAGTCCCTGGACGAGGGGTAGTGGGAGGGAAGGGGATGATCGCTCGACGACGGCGGTGGCGACGAATATAATATACGTATATCATAAGTATACCATCGAGGGGGTGGGAGACCATATTATATACTGTCGGGGAAAGCGCGGGGCGTCATGAATAATTCTCGGTATGGGACGAGCGTATATAAAGAAAAATATGGATGGCATCTCATCAATATGCATGTATAAAGAGTGGCGAACGGGGTGGCGGTGGAAGGACGGTTTCGTAGTTCATAATCTCGGCACATCAATATCTCAGCCACCGCGCAGAGCGGCTAAAGGAGTGCAGAGAGCAGAGCATTTGCATGGAAAAATATCAAAGTGAAAAAAAAACGAAAGCGAAAACTATATAAAAAAGTACAAAATATTATATTGTTTTTCAGCCATATCTGCCCATATACATTATTATAATACTTATTATTATTATTATAATATTCCGTCTCGCTGCTGCGCGCTCCGATATTATTATTAGGAATGGAGGCGGCGGCGAGACTTGATTTACGGTTGACGATCGTTCGTTCGTTCGCTCGGTATAAAAATGTATTTCGAGTGTGACGCTTAAAATGATAATAACAATAATATAATATACGAAATATAATAATAATACAGTTGATTAACTGAAGCTCCATGACCACGAGTCCCTGAACGACGGCGGGGAGGTGCAGCTGGGAAACAATACGCGACGGCTGCAATCTCGCATGCGGATCCGTTTGAAAATTCCATAAGCTCCTCGCCCACGACACGCAGGCTACCACTACCCACCGAAATCACGTACACGGTTACGTATATACCTGGGTTAGGTACTTGGATATGTATATACACATGTTAGGTAGATACTGAACTCGGACCATAAAATATATTAATATTATTATTACCTGTGCCGCAGCCGCCGCAGCACGGTTACGCGGTCTATACATAAAAAGATAACAATATAATAATACAATATTATTAAATACAAGTGTTACCAGCTGCAGACCGCTATTCCGTACCTACGTAAAAAAAAAAAAAATCAATTACACGTTTTTTGTTTTTTTTCTTACTCGTCTACAACGAGATTCACTACGTCAGATAATAACGAAAACGATGTCAAAAAATCTTCACGTTATGTAAATGTTATGTTCGATAAACTCTCAGATGTATATATTATTATTATTGTTACATTCATATAATATATTATTAGGTATATAATAATATTATCATCACCGCTCGATCTTAATAGCGAGGGTGTTTGAATGGTGTATTTTGTTCCGCGACGATATTGTCTTACACGGGTTCAAAATATTATTATTATTATTATGTTTACGAGCCCGTTATATAATATATGACTGCCTATTAGTGCCATTACCTACTTTGTATATAATATAACGTTATTATCGCATAGGTAACAATAAGATTATTATAGATTTTGGCAGTCGTCTTGGCCGCAGATGTAACTAATAACTAATAAGAATATAATGTGTAAATTGTATCTAAGAATCGTGGTGCAGCTTTTG